AAGGAGAAGTGGTGCAGAGAGGCCAAGGCCCCGGCCCACCCACACTCGGGCGGAAGTGGAAACTCGGGCTAGAAATGTGGATGCCGGGAGTCAGCACCATGAGTCACTCCTGCTGCTGGGCCTGGGGACAGGGCGGGGGCAGGAAGGGGGCTCCCTGGGGGAGGACCCGGGAGACCAGATGGGTGAGGGCTCCCCGGGCTTGGGGGCCGCCCTCTGTGGACAGGACCAGGCTTCAGATGGTGCTGGGGTGTCAGATGTCACAGCCGCTGGCCCTGGAGGGGTGGGCGCCGGTCCCACAGGAAGGTGGAGGGGGAGACTCTGCACCCCAGGAGGTCTAGGGTGAGGGGTGGCCAATGAGGGGAAAGTGTGGGGAGGGGGGTCCTTGTGGAGAGAGGACCGGTGAAGAGGAGGTCTCGGGATAGGTGCCATCTGGTGGCCGAGACCTTTCCGCATGGAGGCCACAGGTACACACGGGGTGGCCCAGTTGGTGCTGCTGGCAGGGTAAGGAAGGGCAGACACTGAGGGGTGGGGGAGAACCTGGGGCGCCTGGGATCAGGCACAGAGGGGTCCTGCCCTTCCGGCCCAGCCCCACCCTCCTTGCCCCTGGTCCAGGCGCTGCTCCAGGACTGGACGCCTGCCCCACAGCATCCGGGAGGGGCCGCGGCGAGGCCCGCTGTACCCGCACCGGGCGACCTGAGAGGCTGGGTCCTTGTCCCGGGCTGGGGGTGGGGAGCCGAGAGTGCTGGAGGGGTCCTGCTTCCTTTCCAAGTGTGGGCACAGGGCCCCACGTGGGCCCCGCCCCAGCCTTGCAGCCTGGAGCACCCCAGGCAGGGGGAGAACCTGCAGGGCTGGGAAGGGCGTCCCGAGGTGGGAGACGCTGCCTTGTTCCTGCGACGGGGTTGACCTTGCCCGGTAAGGGGCAGAGACAGGTGGGGTGGAGGGAGGCAAGCCGTGTGCCGGCTGCCCGCTCTGAGGGAGGCTCGGGGTCCACAGGCTCCAGGGAAGCCAGGGCAGGCCCGCCCATGGGACTCGGAGCCGCAGGCCGGCGGGGAGGGGCGGCCCAGCAGGCAGCAGGAGCCAAGGGCCCCTGGCGGCCGGCACTCGGGTGCTCCACCGCGGGGGCGGAGCAGAGCAGGCCCCTCAGAGGCCCGGAGGCCGGGAGGACAGGAGCCCTCCACTGCGGCTGCAGCCACACCCGCGTCCTGTTTGCCACAAGCCTTTTTCCGAACGAACTTTTATGTATCATCACAAAAATAACTGCACCCTCGCTGTGCCCCAAAGGGGGCGGAGAGCAGGAGCCCCTCACAGGGTGCCCCCGGGCCAGAGGGACCCCTCTGACATTCGCAGGTGTCCCCTCCGCGCCTGGAGTGCTTCGAGCTGAACCCCAAACACCCACACAGTTGTGTCTCAGCGGCTGTGCTTTCGTCCGACATTAAAATGTAAATGTTTCCCGCACCTTAAAAATGTCCTCCTACCAATCATTTTAGCAGGTACACAGAGGTTCTTAGAAGCAATTTCTGCCATCGCAGCCCTGGAGTTCACTGGTTTTCCTAATGACAAGTCCGCAAGGCGCCCTCCTCAGACGACCTCCGTCTGCATTTCATGTTATCAACTTACGGTGATCCCAGAAATAGAATCGCTGGGTCAAAGGGTATGCGCGGTTTTCAGGGTACTGATACGTGTTGCCAAATTGCTTTTCAGAAAAACTTGACCAAATTATCTTCCATGTTTTTTCATTGATGTTTTAGAGAAAGAAACATTAATTCGTTGTTCCACTTATTTGTTGATTGTTGCATGTTGTGCCCCGACCAGGAATCGAACCTGCAACCTTGGTGTATCAGGATGATGCTCAGACCAAATGAGCTACCGGGCCAGCGCCTAGTTCATGTTCTGTTCATAATGACAGGCGTGCCTGCCTCATTTCACTGCCCTTCCCCAGGGCTGCTCATTCTTACATTAAAATAGATTCTAGCTGTCAGGACGTTTGCTTCTTTAATTCCTAAAAGCGAGGTTGAACTTCCTTTTTCAGAGGCTTCTTAGCCATGTGTCTTTCCAGAAGAACTATTTACCCAAAGGCCTCATGGGCATTTCGCCAGACCCGCCCCGCGCTCTCCCCCCCCCCGCCCCCCCTGCCGCCCCCCCCCCCCCCCCCCCACGGAAGCCACCAGGTTGTGCATTGTCCCAGGGAGACGGAGGCCAGCAGTGGCCGGATAGAGGGAACCGAAACCCCGAGTGGCCTGTCCTCCAGCCCTCGGGGGCCCAGACACACTCTCCCTGGTCAACGCTGGCGAGTCCACAGCACGACGAGAAGCGTGTCCTTCCTGAGCTGTCGGGAGGCGGTGGCGGGAAACGCCCACCCAGAGGGCCCCTGCTGCGTGTCGGGCCCTTGGTGTGCCAGCAACCCCGTCAGGTGGGGGCCTGCGTCTCCCCGTGGACGTGAGGAGACCGAGGCGCCAACAGGTGAGAGGGGCGCCCAGCCTCACTCGGGGCAAGAGGTGGACCTGGGATGTGAACCCAGGTCCCAGGGTGGCAGGGCCCAGGCCCAGATTCTCCACATCGGGGGCAGTCGGAGCTAGCTGGGGGACAACAGCAGCCACTGGAGTTCCCAGAGCCCACAGACACCTCGTCAAAAGCGAGCAACAGCAGGACTCGGGCCCTGGACGGCCGGGAAACACCCGCCGCTGTGGTCGGGAACATTCCCAGCAAAGCCTGCTTAGGGGCCCAGAATAGAAAGTTCTGGCCGAAAAGGGTGAGGACTCGGTCCCCTGAGGACTGGAGAGAGGGGTCAGTGAGGACGCTCCCCGCGGGGACACGGGCCCTCGGTCAGTCGGGTCCTTTGGAACAGAAGGCTGTGCTCTGACCGCTTTCCTTTGCTGCCCTCCCGCTGACGGGGCTCGAAGTGTGTACTCCGAGTTTCAGCTGCTCCGTCTGTATAAATAAACGGATGAAGAGGCCGACTGTTCGCTGCAGCTATTTTTACACTGGGGCGGCTTTGCACTAGGAGGATAGCATTTCAGGGAGAGGGCGCCGGATCCCAGAATAGCCCCTGCAGAGCAGGCTGTGCCCCCGCGGGGCCTCGGCCTGGGGTCTGTGGGGTCGCAGCGTCCTTGGCCGGGGGGGGGGCCACTCCCGTTCGGAGATGGCAACGGCTCCTTCCAGGGGCGTCCCAGCTCCGCCGTGCCTCCTGCACGGGTGGGGGAGGGGCAATGTGTGGGGTGGACTGTCCCTGGGTCTGCAGAACACCCCACGCAGCCCTCGGGCTTGGTGGGTCTGAGGCCCGGAGAAGACAGCCACGCAAACCAGCGTGTGGGAGATGCAGCCGCGCGGTTGACCGGCAGCCGCACAAAGGGGGGGCTTCACCAGGTTTTGCAGCACCGGACACGCCCCACCACCAGGTGCCGGGCACTGGGCGGGAACTCGCTCACTGCTTCTGACGGTGAGACCAGCCTGCTGGGGCTCCTGTGGCTTTTCCACTTTCCACCTGGAACATGAGTCTCTATGCCCTTGGGAGAACCATGCACCCAGGGGGGGTGGGTCCTGCACCCCCCCCCATACCCCCTGCTCTTCGCCTTGCTGGGAGGCCCTGCGCGCACCCTGTGCCCTTGGGGCGGTGACCCAGGCAGCCAAAACAGGACTCAGCGACCATCCAGCAGCAGCGGGGGGATGACAGAGGCCTTCCAAAGCCCCCCTGGGTCTCTCCCATGTTGACTTACGGCTTCTGCTCCATTTAGTCACTTTCTACATTAAAAATAAGGAAACGTGTTTTTTAAATATCTTCATTTTTACCATTTACAGAACTCTTCATTTTTTGTGTGTGAGGGTCCAAAATTCTTTCTGTTCTATTCTTTTAAAAAATATATTTATTTTTACAGAGGGAAAGAAACATCAGTGTGCAGTTGCCTCTTACATGCCCCCTACTGGGGACCTGGCCTAGCAACCCAGGCATGTGCCCTAACTGGGAATTGAACCGGTGACCCTTTGGTTCGCAGGCTGACACTCAAGCCACTGAGCCACACCAGCCAGGGCTACCAGCCAGGGCTACCAACCAGTTCTATTCTTTTCACTGAAGAACTTTAACATTTCTTATAACACAATGAATTCTCTCAGCTCTTTTTTCTCTGAAAAGGCCTTTATTGCAACCTCATATGTGGAAGATATCCTTTGCCAGGTACAGGATTCAGGGCAGACAGTTTGTTCCCACGTCACTCCCACCAGTACTTTGAAGATGCCCCCATCGTCTCTGAGCTGCACAGTCTCGGGTGGGAAGTCAGCTGTAACTCGTGCATTGTTCCCTGGAAGTGTCTTCTCAGACTCCAAGGTTTTTTATCTTGGGTTTTCAGAATTTGGCTGACAAGACTGTGTGGATGTTCACTGTTACTGCTGCTTTGGTGTTTAGTCTTTCTGGGGGCACTCTGACCTTTTTGGGTTTGTGAATTGATGTCTCATTATTTTGTCTCGGTCATTACCTCTTCACATATTTCTTCTCCCCCATTCCCTCTTGTCCTTCTGGGACTCGGGTTACAAGCTGGAGTTGACATTGTTGAGAGTGCTGTTAATTTATCACCGCTCTTTTCTCCTAGTGTTCCAGTTGGGGGTCATTCCTACCAATCTGTCTTCAAAATCACTTATTTATTCCTGAGATTGGGCTGAGGGTTTGCCCACCCGAGGGCATGTTGCTCCCGGGCTGATGTCTGAAGATGCCTGGCTGCCCCACCATTAGTCCGCCTTCAGTGTGGCATCCCAGCCACTGGGTCTCAGGAGCAGAGAGGGGCTGTCCCTGAGTCCCCACTCACCTTCTAGTGTCTGAAAAGTGCAGGACGTCTGGGGAGCTCCCACGGGAGCCACCCGGGACCTTCCTCTCCTAGACTTAGGGCCACTGCCCGGGGCCTGGGCATCTGGAGACGCTCGAGGCAGGGGACTGGGTGGAGAGCCCCCTGCTCAGGTCCCACCTCAGTGCCCCTGCCTGCCCGGGGACTGACGGTCTGCTTTCCTGCCGGCAGGAGCTACGGCGAGCTCACAGACTGCACCAAGCACGTGATGGAAAACCTGGGCTGCTTCTGGCCAAACGCGGCGGTGGACTCGTTCTTCGTCGCTGTGCACCGGCACTACTTCAGGGGCTGCCCCGTCTCCGGCAGGGCCGTGCAGGACCCGCCTGGCAGCATCCTCTGCCCCCTGATCGTGGTGCCCATCCTGATGACCCTGCTCATGACCGGGCTGGCAGTCTGGGGAAGCAAGCGCACAGAAGGCATCGTGTAGGCCGCGGCCCGGGAGCTGCCGGAACACGGAGGCTGCGGGCAGGCAGGGAGGCCGACAGCTTGGGGCCCGGCCTGGGGATAGTGTCCCGGGGCCCGAGGGCAGCGCTGCCCTGAGTCCCCTGCTTCTACCTGAGACCAGCTGACAGGATCTCGCAGTCGGGGCGGTGCAGGCCGCCCTAGCAAGGGGCCGGGTGCTGGGGGAGCAGGGCGGGCCTGTCACCATTACTGGGAAGGTTCCACCATGTTTGTAGGCCGCCCTCAGCTCTGCTCCCACCTCTGGCCAGACTGGGGACGAGTAGTTTGTGATTAAAAGGATGTCCTTGAATTTGGGAAGCGTCCTTATTTCTGGGTGCGGCTCACAGGCAGTAGAAGCGGGAGAGAAACACTAGCGCCTCCAGACGCCATCTTTCTCTGACGGGTGTTGTGGGCGGACCTTCTCCGGGAGACAGTGGTGGCGGGGCCTGCGTGCACACCGGAGGTGCTCCCACGGGACTCTGAGGCCCCAGCCACCCCGCCACCGTGTCTGCAGTTTACAGACTCGAAGAGGCCAGGTTTGCTCAGTTCTGCTGAGCCCCCCACACCCCAAAGGAGGCCTCCCAGCCTCCAGGCCCAGGCCCAGGGCCCCGCCTCCACTCTGTCCCCTGGGGTTTCACCCGCTATTTCCCCTGCAGGTCAGTGTACCCCCCACCCCTACCCAGCACTGCTTCCCCACTCATGATTCTTCCACGCCCCGCATGTAGACAGGCTTCTAGAACATTCTGGAGCCCCGAAGGGAGCTCCCACACTGTCCCTCCCAGAGGTCCTCTAAGCTGAAACCGCCCCCCTGCGGTCCTCCCAGTCCAGGACCTGCCTCTTCTCACCCCCAGCACCAGCCTCTACCTCGGCCCCCGACAGACGGTCTGCCGTGTATAATGCGCTCCTATGTAGAGCGTGTGCCCATGGTTTTGGCCCAAACTTTCAGGGGAAAAGTCTTTTAATTCTTTTGGAGATTTGATTTATTTTTAGAGAGAAGGGAAAGGGAGGGAGAAAGAGAGGAAGAAACATCAATGTGTGGTTGCCGCTCATATGCGCCCCCTACTGGGAACCTGACCCTCAACCCAGGCACGTGCCCTGACTGAGAATTGAACCAGCGACCCTATGGTTCACGGGCTGGTGCTCAATCCAGTGAGCCACACCAGGCAGGGCTTGTTTTAATTTTTTAATTCAATTTGTATTTATTTATATTTAGAAACAAAACCAATGATCATATTCTAGGCTATTATTTTGCATACAGATATCATTATTGCTTGCTAGAATTAAATTTTAACGCATAAGCATAAAGAAAAGAATTAAATACATAGATACGGGATTAGCACTACTCACATAAAGTGCACGCCCTTATTTTTCCCTCAAAACTTGGGGCAAAAAAACCCAGTGTGCATTATACGCTGCAAAATTCAGTAACATTCTGGACTATTCGACACCAGCGCCCCACAGCCACCAGGGGGCCCCGCCCTGCTCAGGTCGGCAAGGCGCCCAGGTGGGCCCCCTGCCGTGAAGCCTCAGGGAGCGCGGGTTTTCTGTCCTCACAGCAGGACCTGCCCTCACCTGTGGGAAACTCTGCCCTCGAGCTGGAAGGAACCAGATGACTGTCTCCGATTATCCCTGCTTCTGCCCAGGAAGCTGATGGCACAGGTGAGTCACAGTTTGGGCTCCAGGACACACACCTGGCGGAGGAGGCTGCTTCTGGCTGAGGCCCCAGTGTCTTGAGTCTTGGGGATGAGGGAGGTTTTGGGAGCAGGAGGTGGCAGGAAGCAGCTAGGGGACCTCACACTGGCCCCTGAGGACAAAGGTGCCCCTAGGTAAAGACAGCCCCCACCTGGCCAGGCTGGGCCTTCCTCCTGTAATTAGCTGCACCTGTGTAGGCAGAGGCCCTGACTTCCTCCGCCCGAGGGCCCTACTTCCTTTGAGGCTGCTTCCTGGTCATTTCGGTGAACCCCTCCATTCAGACCCCGACTCTAGGGCAGGCCCATCAACCCCGGTCCCAATGAGTGGTGGGCAGGGCCTCAGAGCCTCATCCTGGGCTGGGCAAGGAGTCTGTCCAGGATCAGCTCTGGGGTCGCAGCCACTTCTAGCACCAGCCCCTGCCTCATCCTGCGTTTGTGCTGGGGGCTGTGTGTGTGCACAGACTGTTGGGGGAGGGGCGTATGCGGTGTTGGTATTGTTAGTGTGACTGCAGCGTGACTGCAAATAAACACAAACCACTTTCTAAGACAATGCAAAGTATCGGTTTCCTAGGGCCGTGGCAACAAGTTGGACAAACCAGGGGGCTGAAGACAACAGAAATCATTCCCTCCATTCCTAGAAGCAGGAAGTCCCCGGCCCGGCCGGGCTCCCTCTGGGGCCCGAGCAAGGACCCGCCTCCGCCTGTCCCCTGTCAGACGGAGCTCCTTGCAGTTCCTTGGCCCGTAGCTGCAGCAGCAGCAGCAGCAGCAGCAGCAGGAGCATGTCTCCTCTCTGTCCCTGTGTCTCCTCTCCTTATAAGGACACCTGCCACAGTGGATTGAGAGCCCACCCTCCTCCAGTGGGACCTCACTGCCACTCAACCAATTCCATCTGTGAAGACCCTGTTTCCGAAGAAGGTCCCATCTGTGCACCCCGGTGAGCAGGAGTCTGGGGGACGCCGTTCCCTGCAGCATTGCTCAGCAAACGCAGGAGCTGGGGATGCCTCGCTTCTGCCCCCTGCCGGCCGCGAGAGGAACAGCGTGGGGAGCTGCTAGTGGCAAAGCCCAGCCCATGGGGGACAGAAGGAGGCCACCTGTCCCAGAGCTCCTAAGACCACTGCCCTGTCCCCGTGCTGGGGGGCAGGCCATCACTCTCTAACAGCTTCAGGTCTGCCTTTAAAAGCCCACACATGTGTGCACATGTGCATGGGTGTCCACGTGTGTGTGCGCGTGCGTGTGCTAAGTGGAGGCCTCTGGCAGCCCTATCCGGGCCCCTTGGTCCCCCCCCCCCGCCTCGGTCCTCCCCCCAGGTCCCCCCCCACCGGGGCAGCCGCTGCTCCCAGCCGGCCTGAGGGAGTCAGCCAGGCTTTCTGAGGAGCTGGAGTCTCTCGGGCGCCCCCCTGAGAACCGCCCCTGTGCTCACTGTGAGTGCTGTTTTTCCCAAGAAGAAGTGCAGCAGGGAGCGAGAGGGGTGCCAGGCATCTGGCTGGTGGATGAGCTCCTGCCAGGGTCACAGGGAATGACACCAGATGCCTGGGCTGCCTCAGAGCCCCAGAAAGCAGAGGCGGAGGTCAGCCCAGGAGCAGGAGGGTGCACGGAGGGGTGGGTGGGGATGGGGGGTGGGAGAGGTTCAGGCCTCCCGCTGAGGGTCACTGCTCAGGGGTCACTGCTCAGACCCAGGCTGACGGCCAGTGCTCTGCCCGCCCTTTCCCCCGAGTCCATCCCAGGGGCTCCCTGGAGACTAAAAGAGGGGCCACTGTGGATTGTACCAGTGACAATCACCTGCTTTGTCCCTGCCTTTTCCAATAAGACTCGAAGCACCTGCCACCCAGAGGGCCCACCTGAGCAGGGGACCCAGGCAGGTGTGAGTAGCTGTCCTTCCGTGGCCTTCTCTGAAAGCCCAGGGACAGGGGCCCTGCCGGGACAGCTGGGCTCGCTGGGCTGGCTGGGGAGCTGACGTCAGTCTTCATCTGAAAAATACGATTGGCCGGCTCTATTTGTGTCCTGAGCTGGTGAGTGGCCCCTTCTCCAGAGCTGTGTCCTGGAAATCCGCGTGAAAACAAAAATCTATTAGAAGTCAGAGAACCCACAGAGAGACGAGGGAAAAGAACTTGGGAAGCGGAACTGGCCAAGTACATGTTGTTCCCGAAGTTGTCTTGTTAACGAGCTCCCGGGGAAAAGTGCTCTGGAGACGGGGCCTCCGCGAGCCAAGAAGCAGCCCCGAGTGGAACTCGTCTTCACAGAAGGGGTGCGTCCCCCGTGGGTCACAGCGGGGGAGGCAGCACCTGGGGATGGGGCGCCGGAAGCCAGCAGGGCCCAGCCGCATGGGCCGGCGTTCCTTCCCGGAAAAGCCCGAGACAAAGACTCGGAGAGGCAGTTCCTCTCCATCATCAAAGACGAACATCAGCGCCGACCTCACGGGGGACGAGTTAGAAGTGTGCCCCAAAGTCTGCGCGTCCTTGCTCCCAGGAACGTCCCTCCTGGGACCCCGCCGCAGGACATAAGTGGAGACGAGCCAGAGGGCTGGTGTGCAGGACGCGGTGGCAGGGCCGCCTCCCCGGGCACAGGACAGAAACGTGGTCACGCCACACAGGGGGACTGTCCGGTCCCATGGAATCCAGACGGCAGGGCCCAGGGTCCTTAAGTGAAGCTCGTGGGGATTTTTTTCTCATGCTAGAAAGTTAATTGGAAAAGGCAGGTTACCAAATAGGGAGGCAAGGTGACCTCGGTGTCAGTGTGTGTGAGTGTGCACACAGGTGCCCCAGGCCATGCCACAGGATGTGACCCAGAGGAACGACACCAGCACACCACAGTGTGGACCTCGCTGCCATGTCACGGCTGTGGGGACATCACCTCCTGGTCACAAAGGCCCTGGGACGCGTGCTCACGAGGCCCTACTCCAGCTGTGTGACCTGAGGCAGGTGTTCATGTCCAGTAATTTTCGCACCTGGAGTAGATAGCCTAGCGTGGGTCATCTGCTCTGTCCCCGGGACAGGGCGGTCCAGGCTGCGGGGAGAGGCTCCTGGCCAGGGGACCCAGCCTTTGGAGGGTGGGGAGGGAGGTGGGGTGTGGCAGGGACCAGGCAGGGGCCAGGAGCTCTAAGATAGGGACAGGAAAGTGCCTGAAGACCCTCCCTCCTGTGAACGGAGCCCCCCTTTGGTTCCGCCTGGAGCAAATTCAGGGCCTGCAGTATTTTCGAGGCTATTCGAGAGGCAAACCTGGGTCTCGCTTTGGGCTCTTCTTCCTGGGACGGTGCTCAGATGGGCCGTGAGGTTCCCCCTCTTTCCTCTGGTTCCGTAATGTGCCGTGGGGACAAGGGCACAAGGCTGAGGGCGGCTTGAAAACCAGTTTCCTCCGTGCCCCCGGAAATCATCCGCCAACCCTGCTGTACCCACAGTCCCAGGCTGCAGACGGCCACCCCGGGGACTCTCTCCCTCACCCGAGTTCCTTGGCCCACAGATACACATGTGCCCAGGAGCCGGGGCCCTTCGCTCCCTGAGTTTCCTGGGTGGGAGGCGGGTGGGGTGCCTGCAGGTTGGTGGCCATGGCAGGCAGCCGTCCTGGTGACAGCTGTGTCTCGGCGTCTGCCTGGGCTGCCCACGGCCACACAAGGTCACTCGGG